ATTAACCTGGGGTCTTTGTTACCAAGTGGGTACGACTTAACCAGTATTTCTTAAACAGTTTTTATCTTTTACAAATTTCTTAAAACACTTCAAGACATGTTATGATTCTAAACTTTTTTCTTACGCAGTTCATCAGTCTTTTTGAATGTCAATTTTAAGTCATTTGGTCCTTTTATAATAGTATACTCAGCTGAATTAATTCCCGATGCGGTTGAATCCTGTTTTGAGTTAGAGTGTGAGGGTGGTGTAGAATCTGGTCCAATACCAGAGGGAGACACTGACGAATCTTGTCCAATACTCGGGGGTGAGACTGGTCCTTTAATTCTTGTGATGTGGGTCCAACCTTTTTCTCTGGTTCGCACAGCCGAATTAGTGATGAGGAGTACCTGAAAGGGGCCTTCAAATTTAGGTAATAATGGTCTATAATTCCAAGATTTTATTAGAACCCAATCTCCTGGGTTGATGTCATGTGCTTTTGTATCCAGAGGGGAGGTTTGGGGGAGGTATCCTTTTTTTCTAAGTCCTTCTAGAGTTCTTCCAATTACTTCTAAATATTTCTTTGTAGCTTCTTCTCCTTCCAGGTAGTGTCCTGTGCTATAGGGTGTTAACAAGAATGGCAATCCGAACATCATTTCATAGGGTGAAATCCCTATATCAGACCGGGGTCTTGTTCTGATGCGCAAGAGCGCTAGGGGCAAACACTTTAGCCAATTCATTTTTGTTTCTTCGATTAATTTAGTTAATACATTTTTTAGAGTTTTGTTCATTCGTTCCACCCTCCCAGAGCTCTGGGGGTGCCACGGAGTATGCAATCTCCATTTTATTCCTAAAACTTCAATTATATTGTGCAATGTTTGAGCTACAAAATGCGGACCTCGGTCTGAGTCTATGGTATTCACCATTCCGTATCTGGGGATAATGTTTTCTAAGATTACTTTTGCTACTACTTGGGCTCTTTCCCTTTTGGTTGGGAAGGCTTCTACCCAGTGAGTGAGATGATCTACTATAACTAGTAAATATTTGTATCCTTGTACTGGGGGCATTTCAGTAAAATCTATTTGTATGCTCTGGAAAGGTCTTAAAGTTAGTTCCCTCCCTCCAGGTGTTACTTTTCTCATGACTTTCTGGTTTACTTTTTGGCAAATTAAACACCCTTTTGTGATTGCTTTTGCTAGGTCATATGCACCTATGCACAGGTTATTTCTTAGGAAATGATCACATAGTCCTTGGACTCCCCAGTGGGTTAATTTATGTAGTTCTGTTAGCACTATCCGTGCAAGTGCTTTGTTTAAGAACACCCGTCCGTCTGATGTTAACCATTCCCCTCGTTGCCCTTGGCGTAACTTTAAATCTTTTATAGCCTTTAATTCTTTTTCACTAAATATGGGGGTTTCTCTCTCATTCTCTTTGAGTGTGGTTTCTGTTTTAAAAACTCTTACTGGATCTCCTGGTTCTAAAGCTGCTTCCTTTGCTATCTGATCAGCCAATTGGTTTCTTTTAACTTCGAAGCTGTGTCCTTTTTGATGCCCTTTTATATGGACTACTGCTATTTCTGTTGGTTTTTGTAGAGATTCTAATACAGACTTGACTAGATTTTCATGAGCTAGGTTCTTTCCCTTTGAGCTTAGATATCCACGCTCTTCCCATATCTTCCCAAAAGTGTGTACTATTCCAAATGCATATTGGGAATCTGTATAAATGGTTCCCCGGTCTCCCTCTAATAAGTCTAATCCTCTTTTCAGGGCATATATTTCACAACTTTGGGCTGACCAGGTTTGGGGTAGTTTTCCTTTTTCACTGATTTGTAAAGTTTTTCCATCTATGATGGCATAACCTGAAGCTCTTTTCCCCTCTACTACTCTCGAAGAGCCATCTATAAACAAAATTCTTCCAGTTGTCAGAGGTTGATCTTCTAAATCTTCTCTTACTTTGGTTTGGAGACTTATCACTTCAAGGCAATCATGTTCTAGATTCTCTATAGGCTCTCCCATAAGGAATTGTGCTGGATTGAGGGCGTTTGATGTGATGAATTCTAAATTTTCCGTGTTAGTTAGTATTATTTCATATTTTAATATTCTTACATTGGTTAGCCACTGTTGAGCTCTTTGGCTCAGCACTGTTTTAAGATCGTGAGGGGTATGTACTTTAATTTTTCCTTGCCAGGTTAATTTTTGGGTCTCTTCTATCAGAATAGCAGTTGCTGCTATGGCTTGTATACAAACTGGCCAACCTCTAGCTACTGGGTCTAACAATTTGGAGATGTAAGCTACAGGTTTTCTGCAGCCTCCCCACTCTTGGGTTAGTACACCATAAGCTATACCTCTTTCAGCACTTACAAACAGATCAAAGCCTTTCTTGAGGTCTGGTAAGCTTAGGACTGGAGCAGAAGACAACTTCTCTTTTAGGTTCTCTAGTTGTTGAT